TGTTAGTTTTGGAAGAATCTAAGGTGATTCCTACATCAGGAACCCATTTTTAAAAGAAACTGAAGGCTAGATGAAATCGAAATTAATTATCTGCACAATTGTAGGAATAAGGAGCATCAATGTCTTGGGGGGGGTTGCTTTAAAATATGAAAATATGCTTTTTTTTATCTTGAAATGTTTTTGTTTTATGTATTTTGGATGTCTCAGAGAATATTTACTGAGAATTGGATGCAATTTTTCTGCTGTTACAAATGCAATCCAGGAGATTACATTAATTCATGCAGTTGGGGCTCATCTTCTTATTGCCATATTTTGGCTGAAGGCCACAAGATTCTTAACATTAATTTAAATAAATTGCTACAAATAAAGAATGTAAATGTTCTTGACTATTCTTATTTATTACCTGATTCGTAAACTGCCAATTTCAAAGTGACTCTCAGAGATTTATATCCATAAAAAAAGAAAATAAAACCATAACATCATAAAAGTACTCAGAAAACAATACACTAATTCAGTATTTGGAATTTACCACATCAGGAATTATGGACTTTCTGCAAATGGGGACAGCCAAAAGAATGATTATACAACATTGGAAGAATATCAGAATCTGATCTGCAGCAATGACTTGCTCATATATTATATTTGTCTATGTTTGAATTAAGATTTTTTCCCCCTCAGCAGAAGAGGAAAGGAAGAAGACTTGCAAGTTAAATATTTTGCAGTTGCATCTCATATCATATACATTTCCAGGCCTTCTCAACCATTTTTCTTTTTTTAAAAAAATTAATGTCATATACATTATTATCACAATGCATTAATAAAGTTCCATATTCTGGAGGTCTTCAGTCAGCAATTAGAACTGGCAATGAAGATATCAAAGTGGTAGATATCTTCTGCTTTTAAGATTAATCATCAACAGTAAAGGAACAACCAGTCAAGATCTATGCCACAGACTAGCACTCAGTAGAGGAGCCATGAAGGCCTAGGAAAAGATATTCAAATGCCATCTTGTGTCTATACCTACAAAGATCAGAATTGTACAGGCCATGGCATTCCCTGTGGCACTCTATAGAAGCGAGCATTGTACTTTAAAGAAGCAGTTTAGGAAGAGTATTGGAGTGTTGGAGAAGACTCCTGAGTGTTGAGTGAGTGAGTGTTGAGGGAGTGCTAGTGAGAAAACTTCCTGAGTGAAGACTCCAACACTCAAACAAGAGCGTTAGAGAAGACTCCTGAGAATACTATGGACAGCCAAGTAAACAAGCCCATGGATGATCAACCAAATCAACCCAGAGTTCTCATTCAAGGTACAAATGACCAGACTCAAATTATCCTACTTTGGACACAGCTGGAGCGATGATCCAGCTCTCTGGAGAAGGCTGTAATGTGGGAAAGGTGGAAGGAAAGAAAAAAGAGGACAACCAGCAGCAAGGTGGATGGACTAAGTTACAGTGGCGATGGGTGCGCCATTGGGAGACCTGAAAGAACAGGTTAGGGACATATTTTCATAAAGAAAGTCTATCCATGTGGTTACTAAGAGTCAAAAACAACTTGATGACACACAATCAATCAAATGGCAAATGGGAGCAAGGGCCATGGAGCACCAGGACTCACTACCATTCTGAGTAAGCAGGTATGAGACTGAATTGTAAGCAACCTTTGGCATTTCTCATTTCTTACTTGGCTTTGAAAGGACCACTGAGAAAACTACATCCATGAGTTAATCTTCTCATGTGCTATCTCCAGCTAGCTGACTAGCTAAGGAGAGCTATATGAGTTGTAGAAGCCAGGACTAGCCTGAGATAGGGCATTTTGGATGGAGAAGCCTACAATCAGCCTGACTATAATAGTTCTTCAGAGGCTGTGCTGTTCATCATCTTCAAGCCAGATTTATCTTGCAGGAAGTCATCCCAGTTCTGTAACACTGTTATCACAGCTAGATGTTTGAAATAAAATCATGTATACATTAGAAAGAGGAACATACATCTATATCTATATATCTTCTATTCATCTCCCCATCCTACCAGATTAAATAGGGTCAACTCTCTTCAGGTGTTGCCCTTACAGGATTATCACCAACAAGATGTCAGAAGTGGGCATTCTCAGTAGCTGTTTTCCCTCTTAGAAACTCTCTCTCTCAATAGAAATGTAATTAGCCTCACCTCTCCAATGCTTCAGAAAAACTTTGAAGACCTCTTTGTTCCATCTTGCCAAGCAAGAGGAAGTTCTGTGATCTGAAGGTGAGGTTGCAGGCACATGGTACTCATATTTGTTGGTGTTGATGTCCTTCATTTTTTAAAATGTTTATATGAATTTGAGCTTTTTTGGAGTAGCTTGTGGGAATAGGTGGCATAGAAACAAAGTAAATAAATTACTGTATATACATTTACATACATATATGTCCAATGCTAATCTGTCTCCTGCTTAAGTTGTTTGACTATCTGGCCAGGGACATTCTGTGGTCAGAAGGATGGATAGGAGGGTGGTCACTCTCTTCTGCTCTTGTTCCCCAGGATCTTGATGTTTTCATCAAAATGACAGAAGAAGTTGGGCTCTGTGCCCTCTTCCTGTAGGCGTGCGGCATTCCTATGCACATAGCAAACGGACAGGGCTTGTGTTGCAATGGTGCAGCGCTACTTTTACTGTTCTTCTCCACGCAGATGCTGTTACTCTCCAGTGTAAGTCGGCAGGAGGCAGGATACCACCATCAAAACTGGGAGCCTGACTCTCCCTGAATTTGTCTTGTCCCCCTTTTTAAAACCATTTCAATTGATGGTCGTGGTCACATCAGAGTACAGTGAATTCCTTATTAACTACACACTGGAGGAAGAAATATTTACTTGATCTTGAATCTCCTCATATTTGGTTTCAGTTGAATTTTGACATTTTGAGAGGAAAAGAAAAACTGATTATGTTCTCTGTTCCCCAAGGACCCAAACTCTGCCTGCTTTCAGTTCCATCCCTCTAAACATTTTGGCTCCCCCTTTTCTGTACTTTTCCCAGGTTTTTTTTCTTTGGGGGGGGCTTCAAGTCGTTGTTGACTCCTGGCAACTACCTGGACGAGTCCCTGCAGTTTTCTTGGCAAGGTGTTTTGGGAAGTGGTTTGCACTTGCCTCCTTTTTGGGGGTGAGAGAGAGTGACTGGCCCAGGGCCCCCCAGCTGGCTTTGTGCCTAAGGTGGGACTAGAAGTCATGGTCTCCTGGTTTCTAGCTTGGTGCCTTAACCACTACACCAGACTGGCTGTCTTTCCCAGCCCTACAAAATATATATTTTTGAAATAGTAGATAAGAATGGAGAGCCATGGTTTCATCTTCAATTCCTGGCTGATTCCCCTGTGTAGAAAATATCATCTATTCTGTTAAAGAGGCTTTTTCCATATCTGGAGGTTTTTAGGAAGAATCCAAACCACCACCCCTCGAGGATGGTTTGATTCGTTTTCTTGCAATTGCAGAGGGTTGGACTAGATGATCCTTGAGGACCCTCCCAGTTCCATGATTCTTTCCTGAAGCCCATACAAAGACCATTCTAAATGCCATATTTTCCTTCCGGGGGATCTGGGCAAGATGATACACAACAGCGATTGCTGCATTTTCACTCTTCTGATCCTTCTATCTACCCATAGCCTTCCCTGTTCCTGTTCCACCAACATCAAATAATGCTGAAATTCTAAAGAGATTGATCATTAATTCTCACCTTCGGTAAGAAAAAGAGATCCAAGAGCGAGGTTGAAATCTGGCACAAATGAATCCCTGGTTTTAAAGCTCTTGGCTAAAAAAAAATGTTTACCTTTTTTTGACAGCCATTTCGCTGCCTGTGTTCACTCAACACACTTAACCTGCTGACCGGACTAACCATTTCTGAACATCCATTCCACACTGAATCCATAACTGACCCAACGGGCTGGGTTATAATCCTAATGCGAGGACCACAATAAGAGGCTTCTCCTCAGAAAACATGGCCATAACCTGCTCCAACTGTGTCTGAGGACCACTTCGTGCCACACTGAATCTTTGGGATGAAGCCACAGGCTTCCATCTGAATTGGCAGAACCAGATTATGAAGGCTATCTTGGAAATCCATCGTGATTCAGAAATCCCAGCAAATTACGTTTATGGCCATTATGGGGTGGATGACACGGGGTAGTTGAGGGAATACAGGTGCACCTTCCCCAGGAAGATTTCTCAATTCAGGCTGCACGATGGTGATGGTGATTATTATGGGATTTGGAGGGCGGGGACCAGAATCCACTTTTCAGAAGGCGGCAATCGATGCAGTCAATGTCTCTTAAGTCTCACAGGAAGATATTGATGCCTACGAAACGAGCCAAGCTTGCATTTTAAGAGGAAAAGTCTACCTCACTCTGGACTTTACGATTTTAAAGAAGGTTGCAAATGAGCTGAGCCCCAGAAAAAGAAAAAGCTTCCGTGGTTCGTTTTTCTTAAACACCGGTGGAGTCCAAGGAAATATTGTAAAGTTGTTCAAGCGTAAGAACCACCTGCTCCTTCCTCCTCCCCCCCCCCCGCCACTCTTTCAACATGCAA